CTATGGCAACTGGTGAAGCTACAAGTCATGTTCAAAGTCTTGAGAGATCAATGGGAATGAGGGCAGGGCATGGGCGCAGGTGATACTGACGGGTCGGTCATGGATAGTAGAGCCTTGTGTCTAAAGCGAGGGAATGTGACTATAGGTACTCAAGGATCATCTTTGGGTAATACTAAGCGATCTCTGGATCAGTGTGAATATTTGATTAGAAATGTGGCAGTTTGTTATTGCTGGGAGAAACTGAAATAAGGCTGTGTAATTGAGAGCTGAGAAGTGTAGAAATAATGGGGACTTTTGAGCGTGAAAAGAAGAAATAAATTAGCCTCAGCATATCCCTACTGATAAACTTCATCGAGTAACCATTGATGAAGAGGACTTGAAACTCTTACTGCTGAAAATCAAAGATTACAGCCTTCAGTATGGCTTACACATTAACATAAGGAAACCAAAAACCATCCACAACTGGACCAATAAACAACATCATGATAAACGGTAAGAAGTTTGAAGCTGTGAAGGATTTCATTTTTCTTGGATACACATTCAACACATATCGCAGCAGCTGTCAAGAAATCAAAAGACACATCACATACAGAAAATCTGCTGCAAAAGTCCTCAGAGCAAAGATGTCATTTTGAGAAGTAAGGTCATTTCAATTGCTTCATATGTATGTGAAATCTGGACAACAAATAAGGAAGACCAAAGAAGAATTGATGCCTTTGAAATATGGTGTTGGTGAAGAATATTAAATATACTCTGGATTGTGACAAGAACTAAGAAGTCTGTCTTGGAAAAAGTAATTAAGAATACCCTTTAGAAGTGAAGATGGTAAGACTTCATCTCACACACTTTAGACATTTTCCTAGGAGGGACCAGTCCCTGGAGAAAGACATCATACTTGGTAAAGTAGAGGATCAGCAAAAAAGAGGAAGACCATCTATGAGATGGATTGACAATGGCTGCAATGATGGAATCAAACATAGCTACCCTTGTGAGGAGAATTGAGGGCTGGGCAGTGTTTTGTTCACTTGCACATAGGGCTGCTGCGAGTCAGAAGTGACCCAGTGGTAAGAAGAAACAACAACCTGCTAAATATTTTGTATATATTTAATTCAGTCTGATGCTGTACATACATCTAAGAGTCAAATCCATGTTTGGCTATTTCCAAACATTTTGCATTCAATATCATTTTTAAACTTCTGATTCGTAAGAGTTATCAAATTTTGTTGTACTTTGCATATTATCTTTGTGAAGGATTGGTTTATTATTCCATTAATTGATTTTTCTCTTGGGGTATTTAATCTGTAAGGTGTCTTGATACCACATAGATAGCATTCCTTTTGTCTTTTGGATGATTTGATTTTGTTTGCTTATTAATTTTTCTGGGCATCAAGGGAATATATCCAGGATTGGAATGCTGCCAGAAGCAGGGATTACTTGTGATTTTGTACTTTTTCTTTTCCCTCATGTTCATCTTATTCCTCTTTCTCTATGTTTATTGAGCAGATTTTAAATTTCTTTAAGTGCTAGGCAGAAAATGACCATACTAAAGTGAGCCCAAATTATATGTCTATGGGAGGCTAACCAATGGAATATCTGACTACCATAAATTTCAAAGGGCAGCTTGAGAAGACAAAGTTCAGAATTAAATTGAAATCTGCAAAGACCTGGAGTTAGCAAACCAAAAGGGAAGGACATGCTCAGCATTTCTCAAGCTGAAAGACTGAAGAAAAAATTCAAGCTTTGACTTTCAAAACAGAAGGATTCCATAGGTAAAATCTTGAATGATGCAGAAGGCATCAAAAGAAGATGGAAGGAATACACAGAGTAACTGTACAGTGCGCAGAAGTCTAAGGTTCACTAAAGCCAAAAGTCTGAGAATTGGAACACAAACTGAAGAATAAAACTTGGGAATTGATGGAATACCAATGGAAATCTTTCAACAGATTCATGCAACAATGGAGGCACTTACTCATATGCCAAGAAATTTGGAAGATAGTTACCTGGCTAACTGAACTGGAAGAGATCCATTTCTGTGCCCATTACAAAAAGAGGTGAATCAATAGAATGTGGAAATCATGAGACAATATCAGTAATATCATATGGTAGTAAAATTTTGCTAAGGATAATTAAAAAACGCTTGCAAAAATACATTGACCGGAACCTGCCAGAGGTTTAAGCAGGATTCAGGTGAGGGTGTGGACCAAGGGATATCGTTGCTGACATCATAAGGATCTTGGTTGAAATACCAGAAGACCAGAAAGATGTTTGCCTGTGATTTATTGACTATGCAAAGGCTTTTGACTGCGTGAATCATGACAAGCTGTGAACAACGTTGTGGAGAATGAATAGTCTAGAACACTTAATTGTGCTCATGAAGAATCTGTACATGGACCAAGAGGTAGTCTTTCGAACAGAGCAAGGGGACAATGGATGGTTTAAAATCTGGAAAGATGTGCATCGGGATTGTATTATTTAATTTGTACATTGAGCAAATAATCTGAGAAACGATTATATGAAGAAGAATGTGGCATCAGAATTGGAGGAAGTCTCATTAATAACCTGTGACATTCAGATGATATGACCTTGCTTGCTGTAAAAAGAGGACTTAAAATACTTACTGATGAAGATCAAAGACTACAGCCTTCAGTATGGGGTGCACCTCAATGTAAAGAAAACAAGAATCTTCACCACTGGGCCAATAGGAAACATCATGATAAATGGAGAAAAAGTTGAAGTTGTCAGAGACTAAATTTTGCTTGGATCCACTATCAATACTCATGGAAGCAGCAGTCAAGAAATGAAATGACATATTGCATTAAGCAAATCTGCTGCACAAGACCTCTTTAAAGAGAGCAATGATATCAGTTTAAGGACCATGGTGTACTTGATTCAAGTGATTGTATTTTCTATAACCTCACATGCACAGGAAAGTCAGATAACAACTAGGGAAGACTAAAGAAGAATTGATCCATTTGAGTTATGGTTTTGTAGTAGAACATTAAAAGCACCAATAGACTCTCTGAAGAAATCTGTGTTGGAGGTACAACTAGAGTGCTCCTTAGAAGCCAGGATGGCGACACTTCATCTGTCATATTTTGAACATGTTTTCAGGAGGACCTAGTCCCTGGGGAAGGACATCATGCTTGGTAGAGAGGAAGATCAGCTCAAAAGAAGAAGGCCTCCAAGAAGATGGCTTGCACACACAGTGGCAGCAGCAGTGGGTTTAAATGTAACAATGATTGTGAAGGTGGTTCGGGACCCGGCTGTGCTTTGTTCTGCTGTGCTTAGGATCACTATGAGTTGAAACCAAATCAATGACACCAAACAACAACTGCAACATAGTTACATTTTTTAGGGGAAAGACAGTCTCATGTTGTCAGTTTGTATTGTGTCCACACCTGGCCTAATCCATGTGGCTGGGCATCAGAATAGGATGGTATTATTTTGTTGTTGTTAAGTGCCATAGAGTTGGTTCCAACCCATAGCTACCCTGTAGATGGTTTCCAAGGAGCAGCTGATGAACTTGAACTGCTAACTTTGTGGTTCGAACTGACTTTGCAGCCCAGCGCCTTAACCCACAAGGCCATACCAGGACTCCATGGTATTATTAGGATTTCAAAAGTCCATCATGAGCTTTAAATGGTGTATACATCCCAAAAGTTCTCTTATACTTCTGAATCTAGATTCTAAGCAGTAGATTAAGGAGGGAATCTATTTCATTTGATGAGCCACATTGTAACCAAAATAATGTAGCTCAAGGACAATAACATGTGGGCAAAACTCCCTGTGTCTTGAAGTTTCAGAACCAGCAAGGCCACCTCTCATTCTTCAGTGTTTTCTTGCACCTGTGGGTTAATGGACTGAACTGAAAAGTCACTTTGAACCAAAAAGTCAGTGGTTCAAGCTCATCAGTTGTTCCTTGGAAATCCTAAACAGGGTTGCCATGGGTCAGAACTGACTCAACTGTGCTTAACAACAACAACACGCCTTATTACTTTGCCTCTTGTTTGAATGAGGCAATTCCTCTCAGTACTCTGGCTTTCTTGGAAATCTGAAATAGGCCTTTTTCTTAGAGCCCTACCCTGGCCATTTTTACTGCTGGACACCCACTTCCCCAGATAGCCTCAGAGCTATTAATTCTGTTTTATCTACTTGCTTTCTTTTTCTTCATAGCATTTGTCACTATCTGACATTTTAGATGATTTATCTGTAACATTTAGTTGTCTTCTTCTTCTTCATCATCAGATATATATGCCCCAAATCAAACCCACTGCCATCAAGTTGATAATACTTATAGCAACCCTACAGCACAGAGTAGAATTGCCCCATAGGGTTTGTTATTGTTAGGAGCTGTCCAGTTGGTTCCAACCCATAGCGACAAGGGTTTATAGGGCTATAAATCTTCACAGAAGAAGACTGCCACATCTATCTCCTATGGACCAGTTGGTGAGTTTGAACTATTGACCTTTTGGTTAGCAATTGAGTGCTTAAACCGCTATGCAACCAAGGATCCTTATCCTATCTGTGAAGTTCTGTTTGCAACACTATATACCCACTGATTAGACTGTGCTTATGACGTAGTTAACACATAAAATTTCTAACGTGAATGAATGAATTTCTCATAAGACAAAGGGAACACATGCCTGTTTGGGGAAAGTATTGAGAGTGTTACAGAAATTCCTAATTAGAGATGTCATTTGTTGCTGTTTAGTGCTGTCAAGTGGGTTCTGATTCACAGCGAGCCTGTATAGGATTTCCGTGGAGCAGTTGTTGGATTTGATCTGCTGACCTTGTGGTTTGCAGTCCAGTGTTGATCCTACAGTGTCACATCAGGAGTCCCTGGGAATTCCTTAAATAGAGACAGATCTGTTCTCAAAATAGTGAACTTGCTTTATAGATTAAAAAATAGACATGATAAAATTTCTGCTATATTTGTGACCCTTTTATATGTATAAATTAGTCATGTCCACATTCTCTTTCTAGGTGGTAGCATCAATCATATGGAACCAGAAAATAATACACAAACTTTAGAATTTCTTCTTATGAGATTTTCAGAGGGACCCGAATTGCAACCTTTCCTCTTTGCGCTGTTTCTCTCCATGTACCTGATCACTCTGCTTGGAAACCTGCTCATCATCGTGGCCATCATCTCAGACTCCCATCTACACACGCCCATGTACTTTTTCCTTGCCAATCTGTCCTTTGTAGACATCTGTTTCACCTCCACCACTGTCCCCAAGATGCTGGTGAATATCCAGATACAGAGCAAAGTCATCACCTATGAAGGCTGCATCACCCAGATGTACTTTTTTGTACTTTTTGGAGGGTTGGACAATTTCCTCCTGACTGTGATGGCCTATGACCGCTTCGTGGCCATCTGTCATCCACTTCACTACATGGTCATCATGAACCCCCGACTCTGTGGGTTGTTGGTTCTGGTGTCCTGGATCATCAGTGTCCTGCATTCCTTGTTAGAAAGCTTAATGGTGTTGCGTTTGACCTTTTGTACAGACGTGGAAATCCCCCACTTTTTCTGTGAACTTAACCAGGTGATCCAACATGCCTGCTCTAACACTTTGATCAACGACACAGTGATGTATTTTGCAGCTGTGCTGCTGGGTGGTGGTCCACTTACTGGGATCCTTTTCTCCTACTCGAACATTGTTTCCTCTATTCGTGTAATTTCATCAGCTCGGGGCAAGTGTAAAGCCTTTTCCACCTGTGCGTCTCACCTCTCTGTTGTCTCTTTATTTTACTGTACCATTCTAGGAGTGTATTTTAGTTCTGCTGTTACACACAATGCACACTCAGTTGCAACAGCCTCAGCGATGTACACCGTGGTCACACCCATGCTGAACCCCTTCATCTACAGTCTGAGAAATAAAGACATAAAGGGAGCTCTGAGGAGATTGCTTGTGAGGGGAATCCATTAAAAAGCCTTTTTTGTGGGGTTGAAAAAGTTCCTGTAACTTCAGGGCTCAAGCCCTCAGAGCCAGAAATCATAATTCTTAGATCCTGTCCTGGAGGCAGAACATGGCCCTTTCTAATCATCTCCTGAAGTTTCAATCTCTTTGATTTTAATTAACTCCTTTTGTTAAGGTTTTTGGTAGCTATAACCTTTGGTGTCTATAATCATAACATCTATAATTTCTTTTTCCCATTTTCCTTTTTTTATTTTATTTTAAAGCTGTTATAATCAGGATCAGAAATAATTTGGATATCTCCATTTGCCACACAGGGCGACACTGATTTCTTGAAAAATAGTTTCTTCACAAATGACGTTTATTATCACAAGTAATTTTTATTTTGTTTTCTTGAAAGTGATGAGTTGTACTATTACTCTGGTGAAAAACTAGACTTGGAAACTCAGCCCATTTGCATAATTGGATTGTAGAGAAAAATCTACAAGCACATTTTCTATTGTTGGGTTCATTATTTCTTTAAATATCATTACCTAAACTGCTCTTCCACATAAGGTGGACTAACCCACTGGGGTATTTTCTAGATGGTCAGCTAAATGGTCAGAGAATAACACTTCTTCTATTCTTATTAGAATTCCATTTTCTTATTCAGCTAATTGTCCACATTGCCTACAGAGTGGAGTGAAATAAAATTTACTTCTCAAATACATATCTTGGAGAATACAGATTTGTGTAAATTCATTGGGTGTGATGCTGTGGGATAAAGCAGGGGACCGCAGGTCAGTTTGAACCATAGGTCAGCTGTTCAAACTCACCGATCACTCCTTGGAAACCCTATACAGGGTCGCTGAGTCTGAACTGACTCGATGGCATGTAGCAACGTGGCGCTGTGGGTGAATGTGTCAGACTGCAAAGCTGTTTAAACTGCAAGGTTGGCAGTTTGAGCTCACCAGCTGCTCCTCGGAAATCTTATACAGGGTCACTATGGGTCGGAACCAACTTGACATCACTTCACAACAACAACGATGATAAAAGTCAGAGAGATTGCCTCAAGCATGATGAAGTAGAATTCTAAAGCATACACTATATTACTCTGAGAAAGATTTGTATTTTATGTCATAAATCTATTCATTGAAGTATCAAAGCTTGGTGTCCATGTGCAAGGAGGTTGACTAATTGGGGTGACAGACTGTGCTGCATGTTCGATGTTATTTTATTGAGTCATCTTCCTGATGGCCTTCTCTATTTCCCTAGCAGGATCTTTATTTACTCCTCTAGGTCTGACCTTTGCTTTGTCTTGCTTTTCTTCCCTCTTTATCATTTCTTTGGAGCCAAGTTTATTTCTTTTTCACATTAAAAACAATTTTATTTAAATATAATATTCACAGATAGAAGTGCATTATGCATAGTCAACAATGCATTTACCCAAATTGAATTTCAGTGTATAACTAGCCACTTCTAGACATCACCCTCCCAGAAAAATAATATTCTGACTTAAATCTTAGATTAGTTTTGATTGTTCTTTAGATAAACAAATCGTGTAGTACATATTGTCTTGTATCCAGTTTATTTCACTGAGTTTATTTGCTGAATTTGCTTGCAGATAAACTATTGTCATTGGTGGATAGTATTCCTTCATATGAATAAATATGACTTTATGTACTAAGTTTAATATTGAATTTGGGTTGTTACCTTTTGAGAGCTATTACCAGCAATTTGGAATCCTGGTGTGGAGTTGCAGGATAATGCACTGGACTACCAGGTTAATTTGAACCACAAGGTTGACAATTCAAATTAGCCAGCCACTCCTCCAAAACCCTTTTCAGGATCGTGATGAATTCCAACCGACTCCCAGGCACTTAAAAACAACCAGCAATTTGCAGTGAACATCCTGGTACAAGTCTTTGGTTAATGTATACTTTGTTGTTGTTATGGTTCAAACTGACCTTGTGGTCCAGTGCATTATCTGCGGAGCCACACCAGGACTCCAGTGTATATGAGAGAAGAACATGTATATGAGGGCAGAACATGACTTTTGCAGGCAAAACCTAGAAAAACACTGTAGAGAATTTGGATTCTAGTTGATGAGGAGGAGATACCCATGATATTGAATCTGTGGGTGGTTAAAGCACAAAACAGGTATTGTGATGCCAGAGAATGCACTGAATGCAAAAATCCCACCCAAAGCTAGAGACTAAAATGGTTTAGGATATTTCCACTGCTGGTGAGAATGGGAACTGGTGCACTGGTGTGAGAACAGTTTGAAGGCCCTCCAGGGCCTCTCTACCATATGACCCAATGCTACGTGTGTACCTAGAAGTGAAGACAAGAGCACAAACAGAAATGTGCAGGTTCACAAGAGCTGAAAGATGGACACAGCTGACGTGTCCATTAATAGATGAATGGAGAAACAACATTTGCATATACAAACAATGGAATAGCATGCATCTGTAAAGAGAAATCAAGTTCTGATGCATGCCAAAACATGGACAAACCTTGAAAGAATCATCTGAATAAAATAAGTCAGTCACATAAGGACAAATACTGTATGACCTCATTTGGTGAGGAACTGAGCTAAATTGAGCGACCAACAGCTCAAAGTAGATTCTTTAGTTCCTCTCAGTCTTTCCAATGCCTGCAGCACCAGCCAGCTTCCTGACTGAATCTTTTTTTCTTTTTTAAGTGATTTAAGGCAATTTTATTAGAGCAGTATGTGATTATTTTATTTGTTGTTGTCAGGTGCCTTCAAGTCAGTATCAACGGATAGCGACCTTTACGCACAATGTTTGTTTTAAAAGAATAAAATACATAAAAGGAAACAGCTTTTATTTGTTTGAATTCTGCAAAGTTGAATTATTTTGCCAATGTGAAATATCAGTAATGCACTTTAAGACCATGCCATCTTCTGAAAATGCCATGACAGAGAAGTTGCTGTGGGTTAATACATGAAGTAAACTTTCACTGGTAAAATGTTAGGATGAGAGAGAGAAACCTTTTCTAACCTCACGATCAGAGAATATTCTGAACCCCAGCCTTCATTTTAGGGAGGCTGGTCGAGTATCATAGAGGCAGATCATCCTCCCAACACAGAGGATTTCTTGTCAGGCTTTTGAAATAACAGCTCAGGATCAGGTCTTCACTCTCCCACAGCTAAGATCTGAAATACTTTCGAGTGACTTCAGTGGTGTGGGTTTGCATAGGAAGAAGCTGTGTTCGGGAATTTCATTTTACTTGGATCCACAATCAATAGTCATGGAAGTTGTCGTTGTTAGGTGCCATCTAGTTGGTACCGACTCATAACGATTCTATGCACAACAGAACAAAACACTGCCCACTCCTGGGCAGTAGCAGGAAGAAATCAAAGCATTTATTGCACTGGGTAAATTTGCTACAAAATATATCTTTTTAATGTTAAAAAGTAAAGATGTCATTTTGAGAACTAAGGCGTACCTGACCCAACTGTGATATTTTAAATCGCCTCATATGCAAATGAAAGCTGAATAATGAATAATGAAAAAGAGTTGATGTTTTTGAATGCTGGCAAAGAATATTGAATATATCATGAACTACCAGAAGAATGAACAAATCTGTCTTGGAAGAAATACAGACAGAATGCTCTATAGAAACAAGGGTGCTGAGATTTTGTTTTATGTAATTTAGACATGTTACCAGGGACCAATTCCTGGAGAAGGATATAATGCTTGGTAAAGCAAAGGGTCAAAAAACCCCCAGGAAGACCCTCAATTAGATGGATTGACACAGTGGCCGCCGTGATGGGCTCATACATGGCCACAGCTATGAAGATGGGCACAGGTCTGGGCAGTGTTTCCTTCTGTCTTGCATAGGGTCACTATGACTCACAATCAATGCTACAACACCTAACAACAACAGTGCTCAGAGCAAGTCAGGGTAGTGGAAGGGCTGAGAGTTACATCATCTCTGGTCAGGGAGATAAGGCAGAGTCTGAGTAATATAATCATCCTGGGCCTTTTAGTAGATGAGTCTCAGTAAAGAAAAGTAGCTAGATGTGACTTATTCATTGAATTTTACAGTGTCCCCTTCAAATTACCTGCTCAGGGGTTCATGTATACAGGTCAAATCTGCTCCCCACTTGTTTTTTTTTTTTTTTTTTTTATACAATGTCATCATTGCAATACAGTGTAGTGGGCTGAATTGTTTCCCCCCAAATGCTATACCTTTTCGCCTTAATCTCCATAACCTGTGAATATGAACATATTTGGGAACAGGGCCTTTGCAAATGTGAATCAAATTAAGATATTGAGAGGAAGTGTTGGGGATTATCTGTTTGGTACCAACTCATAGTGACCTTACACACGACAGAATAAAACACTGCCTGGTCCTCTACCAATATCACAATCATTATTATTCTTAAGCCCCTTGCTGCTCCCACTGTGCCAATATGTCTCATTGGAAGCCTTCCTCTTTCTCGCTGACCCCCCTTTTCACTTAGCATGATGTTTTTCTCCAGGGACTTGGCCCTCCTGATAATATGGCTGAAATATGAGAGACAAAGTCTGGCCAACCTGGCTTCTAAGGAACATTCTGGCTGTACTTCTTCCAACACAGATTTGTTTGTTCTTTTGGAAGTCCATGGTACTTTTAATATTCTCAGTCTTCTCTCTTCATTGTCCAACTTTCACATGCATATGAGGTGATTGAAACTACTGTGGTTTCAGTCAGGGGCGTGTTAGTCCTCAAACTGACATCTTTGCTCTTGAACATGTTAAAGAGGTTTTGTGCAGCAGATTTGCCTCATGCAGTATTGCTTGATTGCTGTTTCCATGAGTGTTGATGGTTGATTTGAGCCAAATGAAGTCTTTGACAACTTCAATCTTTTCTCCATTTATCTTGATGTTATTTACTGGTCCTGTGTGAGAATTTTTGTTTTCTTTGCATTGAGGTGCAATTGCTTCTTGGTCTATGTACAGGTTCCTCAGGAGCACAAGGAAGTGTTCTGGAATACTCATACTTCACAATGTTGTCCATAGCTT